GGCGGTGACAGAGCTGGTCCGAAGGTCGTCCACGACGGCGATGATGCCCAGCCAGTGTCCTGGAAAGTGGCCGGTGATGTTGAGAAAAAGCCGGTCGTGCTAGGTGTAGACGAGGAAGAAGCGAGTCAACCGCAGGACCAGACGAGGCAGGACCAGACGGCAGTGTGGCAGCTGCGGAACCAGACGAAGCTGATGCCGACGCTGCAGGCGTGGATCAAGACACTGATGCCGGAACAGGCGAGGATGAAGAAACTGTAGGAGACGGCGTGGAAGCCGCAGGTGGTGGCGCTGCAAGCTGGACGGGTCCCTGGGAGGCAGGTTGCTGAACGGGCCCCTCGGACCCTCAAACGGAGACAGGAGAGGAAGGCCGGAGCGGTCTCTTGGACCCTCCAGCGGAGGCTATCACAAAGCCAGCAGGCATGGAGTCCTCTGGCTGACACGAAGGTGATTGAAGCTGCTCAGGGCATTGACTCTGCCTAGGCAGCACTAACACGGTGCAGTTCTCAGGGGACTGCTTAACCTTCAGGGGTCCAGAATCAGCTGGGGGCTGAGACCTGGCCTCTGGGGAAGCCCTGGAGTGGATAACTGTGCCAAAAGCAGCTAAACCATGAGAAACACCCTGAGTTGAAATTAGATTTTCTCCCTGTATTGAGATAACGGATGGCAAAGTGGCTGATAGAAATGAAGACTGAATAGCAGACCCAGCTAGTGGGTCTGCTAGCTGGGTGGGAACACAGCTAGCAGATGGGAACACAGGAGACAGCGCTGGGGGCTGTTGAATGGGTGACCGCGCTGCAGGCCTGAATTACAGGAGATACTGGAGACACTGGAGACTGAACTACTGGAGACACTGGAGACTGTGCTAATGTAGACTGAACTATAGGAGACTGAGCTGATGACAAAGCTAATGACTGGGCTACCAACTGAGCTAGTGACTGAGCTATGGACTGTAGTAAGGGTTGTAGTGATTCTGGTTGTGAGAGCGGCTGAGTGGCGGTCAGGGCTGGAGACTGAGCTACAGGTAGCGAGGACACTGGAAACTGAGCCGAAGGTGCCTGCTGGGCAGCTAGCTACTTTAATTTCAATATTTTTGTGTTTCTTGTAGTTGTACTATTTTGATGCAACACTATGCAATTATATTACAACCTAAACTGAAATGATATGATTATTAATTAAAATATATTTATGTTTCAATGTTTGAGTGTAGA